GGGCCCTGCCGAGCGCCCGGGGCCCCGCACCGGTCAGCAGGGCCCTGCCAGGCCTCAGCCTCCTCCTGGACCTGAGCAAGCCCGAGGCTGCGCGCAGGCGGCACAGGCATGCCCACGCGGGCCCTCACCTTGGCGCCCAGCGGGCAGTAGCCTTTGAGGAAGTCCGCGCAGACCTCAGCCTTCCGGGACACGTAGACGTGGCTGTAGGGGCAGTCGCTGCTGCTGCAGACCCCCCTCAGGAAGTAGGAGCACACGGGCATCTGGGGGGACAGGCCAGCGCGCCCGGCTCTTCCACAGCCCCGACGCGCGGGGCGTGCCGGAGGCAGCCGGCCCTGCAGGGGCGGAGGCAGCCAGGGGGCCCCCACCCCAAAGTCAGCCTGTCCCGGCTGCACTGCACTGGCGGAGGAAGCAGGGGCGGTGGGCGGGGCGGCCAGGGGCCTGGGGGGCAGGAGACCACACCCCCTGCCCCCCCCAGCCCTGGGGGCCCTCTGGCTCACTGGCCGGCTCCTGGCAGGTGGGAGCTGCCGCGAGCTGCAGCTGGAAGCCCAGAGGGCCCCCAGGGCCACTTTCCCCGTAGGCAGGACCCGGCCAAGGAGGGAGGGGGCGGAGCAGTTTGTTTTAATTGTCTCTTAACCGCAGCCGCAGCCGGAGAGCAGAGAGGGGCCAGCCCGGCAGACAATTCCCTTAATGCGGCTTTTGATATAGAGCCCAAATTAGCTCTAATAAAAAGGGGTAATAAAGCCGGCGCTTACACCGGGAACCCTCCTGGCTGTCAGGGCGCCTTATCGGGAGGACGCCGCATCCTCATTTCAATTAACCTTGTTTGCACCCACCACGTCCGCACAAATAACAACAACATTAATTCAGGCTGCGCAGACAGCCGGGGCGGCGGCGGCGCTGGGGGCTAATGAGCCCAAACTCGCCCTGGGCCGCCAAACTGCTCACAACAGAGTTTCCAGCTCTATTAGGGAGAAAATGCTGATTCTCTTCAAGTTCCTCAAGGGGAAACGCTGTTGCAGCAGCAGCTGCCCCC